GCCCCCTGCCCCCCTGCACCCCCCCCCCCGGGATGATGACTCAGGGCATCTCCAACTACAACCGCGCCCCGGCTGACGTCACCGTCGACGACATGGAGAACGCGGTGGCAAAGTACGACGCTGAGCTGGCGGCCATGGGCATCAACTTCCTGGATGTTTTGAAGTCGGGCAAAAAGTTCATCTACAACGAGGTGGCTATCGGCGGCGGCGTCAGCGAGTGCGGCAACGTCAGCGCAACCGAGCCGTGGCAGGTGGGCCGCCAGCCGCACAGCCGACAGAGCCTCAGAGGCCCTTGCTGAACACGCGGTTCCATGCACTGCGAGGCCGGCCCCTCGCGCGCACCTCCTGCGCAAGGGTTTTCTGCTGGCACTCTGCTCGCACGCCCGTGCACTGCGGGGCAAACCTTGCTGCTCGTCGCTCCGGCGCTGCTGTTGCCCCTCCAGGTGGGGCGGTACCCCTGGATGGGCATATTCAGCGGGTACAAAAAGGCGCTGGACCCCTTCAAGACGTTCATGCCGTCGGACGCAGACGTGCCTGCCCGCAGCTACATGCGCAGCTGGTGGGTCGCGCGTTGGGCAGCCTTGCTGCTGGCCCCTGCCGAGCCGCCGTTGAAAAAGATGCCTCTGCTGCCTGTACGAACTGCCTGCACCAACAGCAAGCCCATGACTGGCATTGATGCACGGCATCTCACTCACTACTCACATTCAAAGACCAAGCTGAGTAGTGGCCCCTCTCGCACACTGATGCAGGTACTCGTCACTACTGAAGGTGCTTGCCCAGGGCGGAGTCAAGTACCCAGTGTCGGGTTCCTACATATGGTGGGTGGCGCAGGAACCTGGTGCGCCCTGCGGACGGCATTTCAAAAGATAAACAGAGCACCTTGGTCCAATCGCCGCCGAGTGCTTGTGTCGTGCAAGCTAGCCGGTGGACGTGCAGACCCCCGAGAGGGCGCAAAGCCCCAGGTGGCAGGGTCGTAGGCGCCGCAGGATCCCGTGCTGAACGCTGCCTGCCACCCCTCCACCTCCTACCCCCTGCCGCGCCCCAGGAACTGCGCCTCATGGGACGTGCAGGGCATCTTTACGCGCAGCGGCGAGGGCAGCTACGCGGACCCGCTCACCGTCGACCGCATCCAGAAGCACAACGCCGCCGCCGCCGCCGAGGCCAAGCGCGGCGCGTGACGCTGAGGCGACGGCGCGGCGCGGCAGCCGCTCGCCCTGCATGCTGCAATTATAGCTGCAAAACGTGACCGCTGCATTGGAGGCGGTGTGATTGATCTCTTTGTGAGTTGTTGGTTTTGTGCATCATCAGAGTCACCACTGCACTCTAAGCCCTGACAGTTTGTGACGTGTTGCCCAGACTTGGCTGGCTTCTCTCTAAAGCACGCGTGTTTGATTGTTACAACTGACACAGCATCGTGGCTACATGAAAGCAGCATTCACTTCTTCTCAAGTGCCCCGGCTGGAGGCTGGAGTGCAGATACACACAGTCAGCTGCGCAATGGCTGCCTAGTGCCTCGGGAACAAAGAAAAGTTCTGGGTCACTTTTTCAGTGACCAGCGGGTGACAGGTGACGGGTGACATGCACGATATGTGAGAGTGCATGCGTGCAAGAGAAATCGTTGCCATGTACAATGAGAAACAACGCGCATGACAGACCAGGCTGCAAACATGAACGCAGCCTGAGCCCATACACGACTAGGAGGAGCCAATTTCGAGGGACCACAAGCAAGGCAGGGCACGCGTGCCGCCGGTGCGAATCGGATCGCAGCCGCAGAGCGCGCCACGCGCCCTCACCCCTGGCCAAAGCCGTACATGGCGGCCGCGACCTGCAGAGCCTGATGCTGCCACACCTCACAGGCCTCGTCGCCGCCGCACTCGCCCTCCTCCTGCCGCCGCGTCAGCTCCCGCTGCGCCGCCGCGACCCAGGCCGGCCCCGGCGTATGGCCCAGCCGGCAGAGCCCGGTCAGCACCGACGCGAGTTCTGTCACGCTCAGCACGCGCAGCGCGCCCGGCCCCAGCGCGGCGCACGCAGCTTCCAGCCAGCTGCTGCCGACCCAGCCGCCGTCTATGCGCGACAGGTGGTGCACCATGGCCGCCACGCGGCGCGGCGGCCACGCGCCTGCCTCTCCCACTTCTGAGCCCGCGTCAGCGGCCGAAATCATGTATGGGGCCGTCGCCGCTGCGAGCGCCTCGAGCCACCCGGTAGCGCCGCTCGGCGCGGCGCCGAGCTCGGCGAACGAGCGCAGCACCGAAGGCAGCGCGTCCGGCGCACGCGCTGCCAGCGCCGGCAGCGCGGGCGCGAGCGCTCCGAGCCACGCGGCGTCCAGCCAGGCCGCGCCCGGGCGGTGGCCCAGTCGCGCGAGGGCGTGCAGTGTCAGCGCCGTGTCACGGGCCTCGGAGAGAGCGGCGTCTTCTCCGCGGCGCGTTGCGGCGCCGCGGCGCGCCAGCGACGCCAGCCGCCTGCGCTGGCCGTCCAGGACTGCATCAACCAACTCGACTACGCCCTCCGGCAGCCGCCCGGCCCCGCTACGCCGAGGCCCCGGCCGGCGGCCGTGCGCATCGCCGCCGCCGCCGGCGCCGCTGTCCTGGCTTGCGGCCGCGGCGCCCCGGCGCGCCCCGGGCACGCCGCTGTACAAGCGCGCCAGCGCCCGCAGCGCCGTCGCCGCGTCGGCGCCGCGCATGGCCCCGGCCGACCCGGCGGCTGCCGGCAGCAGCGCGCGCGCCAGGCGGGGGCCGGGCCTCAGGCCCAGCTTTGAGAGGGACCAAAGCAGCAGCGCCGCGTCCCCAGGCGCCAGTGCGCCGCTAGCTTGGCCACCGCTCCACACCCCATGCTTCTGCCGCCTCTGCTCTTCCTGCTGCTGCTGCTGCTGCTGCTGCTGCTGCTGCTGCTGCTGCTGCTGCTCGTCATGCTGTTGCTCCTGCTGCTGCTGCACGGTCGGCCCGTCCTCCTGTTGACCAGCCACATCCTCCGCGCCCGCACCAGCCCCCTCCTGCTCTTGCCCGCGCCGGCGCCGGCGCTGCCCGTCACCCACTACCACGGGCGGCCGGCCCGTAATCTGGATGACAACAGCCACCTCCAAATCTGCCAGCCACGCGCGGCCCGGGGCCAGCCCCAGGCGTGCGCAGCCGACCATAACCGCCGCCAGCTCCCTAGCCGACGCCCCTGCCAGCGCGCCGCGCGCCCCGTCCAGGACCGCGCCCCACGAGGCGGCGGCGGCGGCGGCGGCGGCGCCGCCGCCGTCGCCCTCTGGTGTAGGCTGCGCTTCGGCCGGGCCCGCCTGGCCATCGCCCTTTGACGGCTGCATGCCGCCGAGCCCGACCAGGACCATCCCCAGCTCGCCTGCAGAGAAGCTGCCTGCCAGCCCGACGCACGCGTCCCGCAGCGCGTCGCGCCACGCGCGCGGCACGGCGGCGCCGGCCCGTCCCAGGCCCCACGCGAGCGCCGCCAACTCCTGTGCAGAAAACCCCGCCCTGCCGGCGCCGCCGCCGCCGCCGGCGTTGCCACCGGCGTCCAGCTGCCACCGCAGAACCGCGCCGCTGCTCTCGACGGCGGCGCCGAGCACGGCCGCCGCGGCCGCGCGGCCCATCCGCGGCTGCAGGCGGCCGAGGGCCCAAGTTATCATGGCAAGCGCCTGGGGGTCTGCTGCGTGCAGCGCCGCAGCCAGAGCCGGCGCCGCCGCCGCCCACCAGTGCGGCCCGGGGTCGAGGCCGAGCCGCGCCATCGAGTGCAGCGCGCACCCGAACGCCCGCGGGCCCGCGGCTGGCAGCAGCTCGGCGGAGCGCGCGAGCAGCGCCGCGCGGAGTGGCGGGGGCGGGCGCAGGTTGAGGCGCGCGAGGGACAGCCACGCCTGGGTGACGTCAGCAACGCCGGCTTTTGGCAGCACCTGCAATTAAGGGCCAAAAGTTGTGGGGGCTTGAGCAGCATGCTGGGGCCCATTGAGGGGCCGGGCACGCCCTTCTGCACCGTCCACACCCAGGCGGCGTGGTGAGCAGCCGGCGCCGAGGGGGATCCCTTCCGATTCGAGACCCCAGGCGAGGCGAATCTTGCGGGCCCCAGCGCCCCGTGCGATGCCTGCTACCCTGTCAGCCCAGCCGGCCGCCCCTGCAAAGCGCCACCACCCCAGCCGCCCGACCCACCTCCGAAAGCCGGTGGGTGCAGCGCGCCAGGCCTGAGGCGTCCAGCCGCGACGCAAGCGGCGCCCCACACGACACCCGGCCGCTGCTGCTGCTGCCGCGCCCGTCCCGCTCTATGACAGCGATTGCAGACAACGCCCAGAGCAGCATGCACACCTCTCGCGCCCCCGCCGTGCGCAGCGGGGGGCTGCTGAGCACAGCGTCTACCCAGGCGTCGCTGGGGACGCGCCGCAGCCGCGCCATGCCCCACATGGCGCCCGCCGCCTCGCGCGGCGCCATGCGCGCCGCCGCGGGCAGCGTCGCCACCTCAAACTCCTCAAACCACCGCGCCGGCAGGCGGCCCCCGAGCCCCATCGCCGCCGCCGCCCACAGCGTGTTGGACGCCTCCTGCGGCCGCATGCCGCGCGCGTGCGCCGCGGCGGCGACGGCGAGCGCGGCGAGCGCGCCGGCCGCGGCGCGGCTGCTGTGCGGGGCGGCGCGCTGCAGCGACGCGTGCGCGTGCAGCATGTTGGCTACGCCGCGGGCGTCCAGCTCAGCCAGCCTGTCCGCAGCGCAGCAAACCAGGCTCGTCGCAAACTTGGCAAGCTCCGGCCTGTCGCACGCGGCGCTGCTGCTGCTACTTGATACCAAGCAAAGCGCATCGCTCCCCTCCAAGTGATCTGATTCCAGATCGCCGCCATCGTCCTCCTCTACTGAAGCCAAGCCGCCCCATCCGCGCGCCTCCCGCCGGCGCCGCTGGTCGGCGGCCGCGATCCGCGCGAGCCGCGACGCGGCGGCGGTCACGTGCACGGCGTTGGTGTGCGGGTAGTAGTCGTGCCACACGCGCTGCAGCTCCTGCCACGTCGCGCACGCGCCGAGACGGCGCGTGAGCCACCGGGCGAAATCAACCGGCGCGCCGGCGGGCAGCGGTGCGGGCCCCAGCGCGTCCGCAGCGGGTTCCGCCGGGTCCAAGTGCCGCTGCAGCAGCTCTCGCGCGCGTAGCAGCGCCGCACCGCCGCCGTCGGAGGCCGTCGGGGCGGGCGAGGCGCGCGGCGCCGGCGGGGCGGCCGCGGAGGGCGGCCCGGCGACCGGCGGGGCGCTGGCGCTGCCTGCTGGCGCCGCACGGGGCGGTGTCATGTGCCGTAGGTTGCCACGGGCGTGCAGCGCCGGCTGTCGGCCTGCGTTTTGGTAGGGTGTGTCAGTAGCACGCCGTCGCTGGTGGCGGACCACCGCCCTGACTCCCAGACGCGGGCGCTTTTTGAGAGTTGCGCATGATGGTGGCACTGCGAAAAGCGGCGCGCCCAGCAGCAGCGCTCACCTGCGCGAGCCCTCCACGTCTCCCCAGCCGGATGCCATGGTCCTTTCGCTGATACGCTCATGGGCTCACTCCACGGCGCCAGGATGCTGGCGGGGTTTCGAAAGCAATCTATCTTGCCATCGGCACGGAGATCTCCTGCCTAAGACGCGTCCGTGAGGTATCAGGTGATGTTTTAATGAACGCCATTCCTTGAAGATAACTTTCGTATGTGTTGAAACGCAGTGCCTCCTGCACTCCGGGTGGTGTGGCTTGTCACGTCAGCAAACGGAACCACATAGGGGCGTCGAGCGGCCAAGTCAAACACATACAGGTTAAGCTCAGCTCTCCAAGCAACTTTCACCACACGGCACGATGGGGAAGGTGCAGCGCACTCCAAACATGCAGAAACAACACGGAACAGACTCTGAAGAGGAAGCCCCTGGCAGCCAAGAGGCGCTAGCGATGGCTCTAGCGGCTCGTGGTGAGCTAATTATAATTGCTGCGCAGCAGCGTTGCTTTTGCCGCTCGCCATTGTCGTTCGCCGGCCGCCGGTGCTTGGCAGCACCGGCAGCACTGCTGCACTGCTGCGGCACAATAGCACAACCAGCGCCACAACGTCATGCTGGCCGCGTATCACCACAGGCGAGGCCTTCATGACCATGTTTGATGACTACGATCCAGAGCGCGAGGCCAAGCGGCAGCGAAGGGCGCAGGCAGCGCAACAAAAGGAGCAGCGTCACCAGCAGCAGCAGCAGCTGCGGCAGCAGGAGCAGCAGCAGCAAGGGCAAAGGGACACTGGCGGCGGCAGCGGCCGAGCAGAAGCTGACCTGGATAGCCTCGCACAGAGCTCAGGCCGCGGCGGCCGCAGCGAAGGTGCGTCCCTGTACTGAGCCGCAGCGTGACTCTCGCTGTGTGCCTGAAACGCAGGTGCCCAACAACCTGAAGAGCGCCCCCCTTACCCGGCGGCCCAGCGCCTGAGCGCTGCGCTCGTCCGGCAGTGGGGCAACTATTGAATTGGCTGCAACCCTTTTTCCGCCTGCTCGCCCCGCCGTGTGCCGCAGGGGATGCCGGCGGCGCCGCGGGCCCCGGGCCGTCCTCGATCGAGCAGCTGCTGAGCAGCGGCCGCAAGGGCCTCGGGGCCATCCGGCGCGGCGGCGCGGCCGCCGCGGGCAAGGGCAAGCGCGAGAGGCAGCAGCAGCAATCGCAGCAGCCGCAACAGCAGCAGCAGCAGCCCGCCTCCGCGCAGCGCGGGGCGGAGGCGGAGGCGGGGCGGCGGGCGCGCAAGGCTTTCATGTCGTCCAAGGCTGCAAAGGTCTTCGATGAGGAGGGGGTGGTGCTGGGCGGCGGCGGCGGGAGCGGTGGGGCCGGCGCGGGGGATGGCGAGGGCGACGTGTCCAAGGAGGACTTTCAGAGGATGGCCCGGGAGGTGGAGGCGCTGGGTGAGGCCCGGAGGGAGGGGTGCCCTTTTGGCGGTTGGGCGGGGGGAGGGGAGGGCAGGGGATGCTGGTGGTTATGATGGGGTGCCGTTTGCACGGCTGCCGCGTTCCGGCCCGTCGCGAGGGGGCGGGCCGCGGCAGCCCTTGCCTGCTGGGCGGCTTTGTGGGCCGCGCGGCGGCGCGCCGTCGCCACTGCCGCCGTCGGGGGTCCCCCCTGTATGAAGCCGCCCACCCTTCTGCCCCTGTGCCCGCCCGGCAGGCGCGACCGCCCTGGACAAGCGGTCCCTGAAGTCGTGGCGGGCCGCCATGCTGAAGCGAATCGGGGCGTCCGCAGAGAAGGCGCCCCACGCGCCGGCCCACATATTTCAGGGCATGGCCAAGGCGCGTGCCCCCCGCGCCGCCGCGCCGTCTCCCGCCGCCCGTCCCTTGCTGAGCAGCGCGCTGGCCGCCGCCGGAAGCGTCGACGCCTGGCCGCCGCTGGCCGCGAGCTTCGGCCGCTTGCCCCGCCAGTTTGGGTGCCCAGGTGCCTGCTGCTTGTTGCTCGGTGCACCACGGGGCGTGTGCTTGTTCGTCTCTGATGTTCCGCTGTGCAAGCCCCCTCCCCTTCACCAGCAACTTAATGCAACGCCCCAGTGGCTCCCAACCCCCTGGCTTAAGCACACGCACAAACACACATACACACACAAACCGATTGCCCAGGCGGCCAAGGAGCGCGAGCGCAAGGCGCTAGAGGAGGCCGTCGCCGCGGGCATGGCCAGCGTGAAGGGGCGCGGGAAGAAGCTGCGCGCTGCCGCGGGTGAGCCTGCCTCCTTGGCACTGCCGCCCGGGGTGGCCCTGGCCTGCTGGGCCCAGGATGGCGGACGGGGTGTCCTGACCAGTCGCATTCCTGCCTGGGTGCAGGAATGCTGTTTCCTTCTATCTGAAGCTGGATATTTGGTCCCCAACTGCAAATGTGAGTACCAACGTACGATGCGCCCCTCCTGTGCCCCTCCCCTGCCCGCCCGCAGCCAAGCAGCGCGACAAGGGCCTGATGGAGGCGGGCGGCGCCTTCAAGAACGGCGTGCTGCGCGCAGACCGGCTGATGCGGGACGAGAAGAGCCGCGGGGGCGGCGGTGGCGGCAGGGGTGGAGGGAGAGGCGGCGGCGGTGGTGGCGGGAGGGGCAGCGGAGGCGTCCGGAAGGGGGGCGGCAAGGGCGGCAAGAAGCGGCGGTGAGCTGCAGTGGCCACCTGTAACTGCTGTGTACGCGCTGTGCGGGCGCCTGTGGCCGTGAGACAGTGCTTTACCCGGTCATGGTGCAACAGCATGGGGCGGGCCAGGGTGCGGCCCCCCCTCTAGTATTTCAATGCAAAGCAGTGCGTTGTGGCGCAAGCGCCAGTGTCAGCAGCGGGACCCAGGCCTTAACCAGTAAAGGGCCGTCAAGATGTGTGGCCGCCCCGCAAAACCTAAAAACGCCGCTGCTGCGTGCAGCGCCGGCTGCGGCTCCCCCACCCGACGAGTTTTGTGTGCGGGTCCCTCGATTCAACTGCACCACGGCAAGGACAACCCAAGGGGGGGGGATTGCCACATTGCCACATGCGCCGCGTGCCTGGGAGCAGTGTGTACCCCTTGCCCTCCCTGCGTGGAGCGCGGCACGCGCCGCGACCAACGCGCCAGGCGCGGCTGCTGAGCACGCCCTCCATGAGCGGCGGCGGCAGTCCCCCAACGGGCGGGCATAGGCGGCGTGCGAGGGCGCCTGCCCGCCCGCCAACGCGGACAGGACCGGCGCCCCGGCCCAGCGCCTCACGCCCTGAACGTGCCACCCCTGCGGCTGGACGTCGGCGCGCGGCCCGCGCCGCCGGCCGCGGCGCCGCCCTGCCTCCGCGCCGCGCCCGGCGCGTGCGTATCCAGCGACCCGCCGGTGCTGCCGCCGGACAGCGCCGCAAACGGCAAACCGTGGTCCCCGCCGCCGGCGCCGCCAGCGTTGTGCGGCGCCGCGGCGGCGCCTTCGGCGCGCGACGCGACCGCGCGGCGCGCGAGCGTGCGCGTGGATATTGCCGGCGCGGGGGACACCACGGCCACCACCTTGGCGAGGATGCGGGCCTCCACGTGCGCGCCGGCTACGGCCGCGGCGGACGGCGACCCGCACGAAGCGAACGAGCGCGGCGTGCTGCACGCGCCGCGCGGCGAGCCCGTCGCGCCGCCGACGCCGTCCGCCCCCAGGCCCTGCCGCGCGAGCCGCTCCCGGCGCTTGCGCTCGACCGACGCCGGCGGCGGCGTGACCATGCCGTCCGCGGGCGGCTGGTCGGCGCGCGTCGTGTCGTCGCCGCCGCCGCTGACGCCCTCGGAGGAGGCGCCGCCGGAGCGCGACGCAGGGCTGCCGGCCGCGGCGGCGCCGTCCTGGCCCCAGCGCTGCACCTCCTCGACCGTCTTGCGGCGCGCCACATCGATGGCGGCCTCAAACGCCTCCTGCTCGTCATTTTGTTGTGGTGTTAGGAGTGCGTGAGCGTGATTGTTGCAGGAATGCGCCATGGCTAGGGCCTGGTCAGGTCCATCTGCCTGGCTTCTGGCATCCGGCCGGGCCTGCAGCTTTGCATGCTCAGCCGACATGCGCCCACGGTCCTGCTGCACTGCACATAGCGGAGCTTGCTCGCACCCACCCTGCGGCCCACAGCCCGCGGCCCAACCCTGCCCACGCGAGCGCCCCGCCCCAAGCCCACGCCCGCCCGCCCACCTTCCCGGCCGCGTCATACACTGTGCCCTCCTCCGCCCCACGCCCGCGGCCCCCCAGCCGCATGCTCCTGGCGCCGATCGGCGTGCTGAACAGCACGCTGCCCGCCAGGCTGCCCGGCTGCACCTTGTCAAGGGGTGCGCGCTCCGCGGTGCCCTCCAGGTTGCGCTCCATGGCCAGGGGCACGCGCGCGCGCACGGCGAGGTATCTGCGCGGGCACGCGCCGACAGGGGGCAGTGGGACGACAGGGGGCAGTTTTAGCGGGGCAGTGCGTGGTGTTTCCACTTCCTAGCCGTGCAAGGTGCGCCGCGGGCCACACCCAACGACCGCAAACCGTGCGCTTGTGCGCGCCGGCGCACCGTCCTGCCTTGACACACACAACCTTCAACGGCCATCCCCCCTCCTACCCCCACGCCGCCCACAGCAACCCCCACACCGCCCTTGCAGCGCCCCCCCCCCCTCATCCCCCCCACCTGACGCACTGCTCCAGCTGGAACTTGTCGCGCAGCAGCAGGGTGCACTCGTGGCGCAGCTCCTCCAGCTCCTGGGGGGTGGGGGTGGGTGGGTTGGAGGCGGTTGCCGGGTCAGTTGCGAAGTGCCGAGAGGTCGGCGGG